TGATATATATTTTTCAACTTAAGCCAGACTCAGACTCAGACTCAAGATTGATAGAGGAACACAAACAATATCCAGTTGAAAAGAATAAAAAAAATAATGATACAAAAGACACAGAAGGGCTTAACTGGAGGCTGAGTGGGGTTTTCCATCCTGCTTATGGCCCCCAGAAGATGTGAGAAAGTCATGATTGACTCTTTGTTTAATTTCTTTGCCCTTCTTGAAAAATAAACGCATGACAAAAGACTGTGAAATCATGGATTTAGCACATCTGTGACTGAGTGTGTCAATCATTTGGAAAAGGAGAAGTGAAGACTTGCCCTGTAAATATGATATAAACACGTGCCGCTCTGAAAAACAGGGTCATAAACTGTAAGAAAATTAGATTAGTTTCAACTAGTAATTGTTTAATTTCATTTCAAAATCAAATTTCTCAGTTTCTCAGAAAGATTGCTGTTTTACCAGTAAAAGTAGGTAAGTAGTGGAGAAACTGACTTATACAACTACAGGAAGGGAAGAACAACTCAGAAAGAGATGTAAACATCTTTATTTAATTTTCTTAGATGTCAGGGTTTTCGTGTTTCTGAAAGTAGGAGTGGCGGGCAGAGTCTTCGGCTATCAGGCTCCAATAAGACTATCTTAAAACTTTCCTTTTAGATAAACCTATACAATATTGGCATGTTTTATTATTTTTAATGAATTTATTATTTATCATTCAGCTCCCAGCCTCCAGGAACCATAGCTGGATAAGCAGTTAGGGAAAGGATGGATGAACTGTTATTGGAGATGTGAATTTTTATGTTTGGAATATATGTCAAATTCAATAAAAACAAATTAGTAACAGTTCCTACAATTATCCAGAACAGTTTTCCATCTTTCTACAGTCTACAGTTTCTCCTCTCTCCTGTTGGGAACTTCCTCTCTGATCCATAAAAATAATTTTCCTTTCATTCCTGCAGCCACTTAAAGTGGAAAAATGTCCAGGACAGTTATTTTCCTGTAGCCATGGGGATGTTACTGTCCTAGTGTGACCATAGTTACAGTTGTGATGAAGAGCCTATCCACTGTTGCCAAGCCACGCTCGTTTGATTTAGATCCGGCCGAGTGAGAGGGGAAAGAGGGCAGGACGTGGCCGGAGTCCAGGGGATTTCCTGTGCGTGTGATTGATTCCTATCTGCAGAGCTCAGAGACACATTGGCTGATGTGCTAATGAGAAAACAAGTTGGAGAAGTCTTCGAAATACATTGTTCCTTTTAAACAATGATGGAAAACCACAGAAAAGAAGAATATTAGATTCACTGCTGCAACCACCGACCACAGTCGTTCCTCTCTGCAGCAGCTGAAAGAGTCATAAAAGGAAGCTTCATACCCTTTTCTACAATTGGAAGACAAAATTGTGTTTTCACATCTATAACAATATAGACCGAGCTTCCACCAAATGCTCACTAGACACAGCAAATAACATCTTTCTGCAGCAGTTTAACTGCTGACATTCCCACATATTTGCTTTCAGTTGTATGTCTTTATACACTCAAAGCATCCAAAGTATCTGGATGATGATTGATTTCCCTCAAAGATTTAAAGCTTATAGTTGTTTTATATCTTCAAAGGTTTGTCAGATCCTCATCACTTCGCTAATAATCCAAATCTCTGTTGATCCTTATGTATCATTCCTCTCTCTACATGTAGCAATATTTTACCTTATAATTCTTATTTTGGATTATTATTAAAATTATTATTTATCTTATATTATTATTATATTATTATATTATTATTATATTATTTATTATTAAAAATTATTATTTATCTTATATTATTATTATATTATTATTATATTATTTATTATTAAAAATTATTATTTATCTTATATTATTATTTGGACTTTTTGCAGTAAAGCTGCCTTAACATTAGCACTGAATGGAATCAAATGTTACATTAGCTAATGTTAAGCCAACATTAAGCTAACAGCTATTGGTAACATGAGTAACAATGCACTTCTTTTAGATCAGAGGTGTCAAACTCATTTTTAAACTGAGACACACACACATAGCCTTATTTTATCTTAAACTATTTGCTAATATTCTACATTTACTGTAACAAAGTGTAACATTTAATAAAATGTACAAACCAGAGGATTAAAAACCTAAGATGGCTTAAAAATGTTTCCCTGCCTGTATGCAAGTATGGTTCCACCTCTGTGTGTTTCTTGAAATAGTAACTTGACTTTAGTAAAACTGAAGTCATTGTGTTTGGGCTTCCTAAAGACCCCAACCTTTCCTTTGATTTTATGGGACCCCTAACTTCCAAATGTACTTCCTCCATTAAGAGCCTCGGTGTTACTTTTGACAGTGCTTTTA